TGATGGACAGGTGTTGGAGGTGTGGGAGAGGTGGGGATGAAGATGGTAGAGGAGGTGGTGGAGATGGTAGAGGTGCTAGGGTGGTGGAGGAGGTGATAGAGATGGTGGGAGTGGTGGTGGAGGAGGAGATAGAAGAGGTAGCAGGGGTAGTGGAGATGATGGACAGGTGTTGGAGAGGTGGGAGAGGTGGGTGGAGTGCGGGTGGAGGACATGGTGGAGGCAGTGGTAGGGGTGGTGAGGGTGGGGGCAGTGGAGTTGCTGGCACTGGTGATGATGAAGGAGGGAAAGGTTTATGTAGCTCACAGTCTGTTGGAGGTTTCAGTCCATACTTGGCTGGCTCCAAGGCAGGGTGGCACATGGCAGAGGGCATGATGGTGGCATTGGCACTGGTGGTGACAGTGGCAGTGGTAAAGGCAGAGATGCTCTTGGTGGTAACAGTGAGGGCAATGGTGTTGGTAGTACCAAGGTAGTTGTGACAATGGCGGTGATGAAGCTGGACAAAGAGATAGCAGTCACGGCAGCCATGGGATTGGCCGTGGTGGGGACACAGGGGCTGTGGTGGGGCTGAGTTGGTACAGGTGGTGATGTGCAGGTAGAGTGTCAAAGACTGTTGGTGATGGTCTTCCGTGGTGGTGGGAGCCACGTTGTGACTGGAACAGAAAGACACTCTAGAAATGATTTCAGCACACTACATTTTTAAAAACAGCTTTATTTAAATAGAATTAGCACCCCCACCCCCTGGCATCCACTGTTTTTAGTTTACAGTCCAGTGGTGTTCAGGTGCTCACTGAGCTGTGCATCTCACCACCCTCTAATCTTTGAGTATTTTCATCAGTCTGTGAGAAAACCTACCCATAAGCAGTCGTGTGCCCCATTGCGTTGCCCTTAAGACTTCTCCAGGCCCCTTGGGTCAGGGCCTTGGGCCGTGGAGCCAGATGTGGCTGCTGCATTCAGAAGAGCCGGCTCTGCCACCCTGCCCAGGCAGTGCCAGCCCTCACAGGAGCCGGAGATCATGCAAGCACCTTGGAGAGGAAGAAGGTGGACGCAGCACGGCCTGAAGCAACTCGCGGCACCACTCAAAGTTTGTGGCTCGAAAGCTGGGATATTTTTTATTTTACAGAGAATAAAAAACAAATAACAAAACAACAGCAACATACACAAAAACAAAACAACACAGAAACAATAAAAATGATACAGGGTTTCAAAACAAAATGATAGGAATTAACAGTGGTTGTTATAGTACATATTGTTGTCTTCAAAGTTGCTCAGATTACCAGATGTAAGAATCCAAGACTGATCAAACCATTAAAGAGAATAAAAAATTTAAAAACCCTTAGAAACAAGGCAGAGCTTCACTAAACACCATGGTAGGATAGTTCTGGAAATATTAGCCAGAGCAATTAGACAAAGCTGGAATATTAAGAAAACTGAAGCCAAGCTTTTTGTTCACTCCTTGTGCTAAATGCATCCCCTGAAGTCAGCACCTGTTGTATCGCCCAGCTGACAGAAAGAGAACAAAAACATCCCCTCATTGATAGGTGACTGGAATGTGGAGTTTAAAAACTAAGACAGTCATCCATTCTGGGTGTCCAACACCCAGACTTAGAAGCAGAACCTACATCACAGAGGTCCTTTACACAGGCAACAATATCCTCATCTTCAAAAACTGTTTTGAAATTTCCATAAAATTCAGCATCAATATGATTGAATATAAATTTTAAAGACTATGAAATAAAGACAGGGATATGATCATAACATGAGATGATAAAAATTAGACACAAAAGGTTACAGACTAGGAACACAGCAACATGGTGGAAACCGCTTCACTGCAAATCAATAGACCGAAATGCTTCAAAACGTGAATAAAATAATTCTTTTATACAATATATTTCAAAAGGATCAAATAGGCAAAGGATAACTTCTTTTTTAGAGTTTGTTATGGTTTGCATCTGGATGTCTCCCCAAAGCCTCATGCAGTCATGGGGCAGACTTCTAGAGTTTGATTGACTCGTAGTCCAATGTTGCCCTTAAGATTATGGGATTATGGGTGTGAGTGCTATGCCTGCCCTGGGGCAGGTAGTTTGCATATAGTGTAAGGGAGGGAAAGAGGCTGCTTGCACCACTCCTCCCTTTTGCTCTTGCTGCTTTTGCTATCTTCTGCCGCCATGAATGGTTGCCCTCTGCCATGTGCCACCCTGCCTTGGAGCCAGCCGAGTATGGACTGAAACCTCTACAGACTGTGAGCTAAATAAACCTTTCCTTCCTTCACTTTAGGCTTTGGGTATTTTGTCTCAGCAACGAGTGAAAAGTAGCCAAGACAGAATTAAAGAACCAGAATTAATTGTTCTAAGGAAAAAATGTAAAAAATGTTGTTTTTCACAAAATATTGAAACTGAGTAGAATGACACCACCTGCGTGTTGTGTCCCGCGCGAGGGGTCAGCCTGTGTCCGCACCCTGGGAGGGAGGGCAACACCTCCAGCTTTCTCCTGCAGACTCGGGGATCCACCTCTGCGCCTGCGCGCCTGCGCTTCTGCAGTGCACCCCCGCGCTTCTGTTAGCTGAACAGGTGCAGCCGTGCGGAGCATCCACAGGCCCTCCAAGGTGAGCCCCGCTTGCCTCGGCCTCGCAGTCCCAGGGAGGCTGAAGGCCTTCAGCTAGAATGTTGGATGGCTGTGAGCCTGATTTCTCAAAAATTACCATTTACATTTGAGTCACTACATTTGACATTAAGAAACTACTTCAAATAGGAGAAACCTGTTTGTTGATGAGTTTGACTTGTCTCTACAAGTCAAACTTTTGCAGAGAAATTAATTTTATTGATTTGAGGTTCTAAATGCAAATCAGTAGTTGCGGTGCGACGATTTCTGTGTAATAGAATTCTCCAGAGCTAAAGTCTTCAGATCTATTTGAAAACAAAGTGAAAAGCTGTCGTTCACCAGTGCAAAAGGCAGCGCTGTAGCTGCGGCCTCAGGAGAGTGCAGACCTTCCTTTATAGTAGGCAAAGCCCGAGTGCTGTCAGGGTCCAGCTCTGGCCGCCTATCAGAAAGCTGTAACGGTCGGCACACCTGTTTCACTCAAATCCTTGTAAATGTACTCAATGGGACTAGTGGTCCAAAACACAAACCAACAACAACAGAAAAACTGGGGCCCAAGAAAACTGGAAATGAAGAAACTTGCCTCCCTGGGAGGCTGAGGCAGGAAATCACAAGTTCAGGTCCAGCCTGGGCAACCCAGCCACTTAGCAGGCCCTGTCTTGGAAAAAAACTCCAGACCAAATTTTCCTGGGCACTTTTTTCAGGTGCTGCCCCCACCTTCCGATACCATGAATTCAGCTCTTGCTAATTCTCCATAGTTCCTTTCTTTTTTTAATTCCTAGATATTTTATTGTTTGCATTTCCAACTTTAAATAAAGGCAATGTATACTGAGAAGAGATCCTTAGATAACTATTGTTACACAAACATCATAGCGGATACACAAAGCCAGACGCCTACCTCGAAGTGGGCGAGAGCATCTTATGGGACCAGCATGGTGCGTGCAGCCCCCCGGCCTCCCCATGTCACCGTGAGGCACATCTACCTGCACCACAACAGCTTGAGAAAATGTCTCCAGTTACGCGCTGCGTGTGAGAAGATTCCTAAGTGTTGCTCTTCTCTCTCCTTCCAGACTATAAGCCCTTTAAAACAGAATGTTTTGCCTAACTCTGAGAGATGCAGGTCCATAGTTTGCACTTAAACGTCGCCATCCACACCTGCATCTATGAATCTGCCCCTGCAGATCCGAAGAATTCAGCCAACTGCAGGTCAAAAATACTCGTGCAAAAATTGCATCTAAACTCTTATTGTTTTTCCTGAAGAATGCAGTACGACAGCTATTGACACAGTGCTTAAGATCCAGAGCGGATTGAAAGCCTGGGTGTGGGAGGGTGTCTGTAGTTCTGAGCAAACTCTGTGTCACTTGGTCATCTGCAGATGCTGGTGCCTGACAGGGCCTGAAACAGCCAGGAATGGCTGAGCGTTCAAACCCAGCACACATGCACAAATCCACACGACAAACACCAGTACACTCATCTGTGGACTGCGAGGCCTCCAAAAGCTTCCCTCTGAGCAGCATCCCCCCGTGCGGCTACACCTTGCAATGTGCCTGGTTTCCTGGGGAAGGCAGACCAAATCCTACTGTCTCAGACCCAGGGACCTCCTCCCATTACCAGAGCACAGCTCGCTGAGGCCTCTTCCTCCAGGTTCCATTGCCAGGAAGTGATTCCAGTGTCACTCAGGTCTCAGGGAAGGAGCTTTGCCTTCCCGTCTGTGCCCTTTTTGCCTGGGAACACAGTTGGCCAGGGAGCTCCTGCGGCGCGGGGCCTCTCTGTCTGCTTAGCTCCGTGCTGTCCCGCACAGGGCAGTCTGTGCAGGCTCAGGCTCAAGGCCTCTCTAAGTGTAGCTTGGAAGCCACTCTGCCTTCCTGGACCTCCTGGCAGGAGACAAGTCTGGGCTCCACCTGGGGGCGGAAAGTGCAGGCTCTGAGGTGTCATCTCTGCTCCCGGCCACTGCTCACACCTGGGCGGACACCAGGGGAGGCTCACAGCAACGCCAGCCCAGAAGAAGGGGAGAAGGGGGGCAGCCACACCTCCTTAGGGAAGAGCTGCCCCGTGGGTTCTATGTCCTGTGGTTAGCAGCCCTCTGGCCATACAGTGCCTGGAAAATTCCAGAAAAACATTTGTAGGCGTTTTCAAAAGCTCTTACCACAGCATATCATCAGCGTTCTTCTATTTCACTGTTAGTTGCTGAGGTTCATCTCTGCTGTGACCGGATCGGTGCTGCAGGACGATCCAGTCCCGGCAGGCTCCGCAGTCTGTGATTTCTCGAGGCCTCTCTTCCCCACGGAACACGGGACGCAGTGTGGGGTTCACCCCTCACGCCTGTCGCGTCCTCCAGCCTCACTGTGTCCCCTGCGCTGCTGGAGTCCTCTGTCCCCTCAGCATGTGCATCTCTGTCCTTGCAGGCTCCCAAGAAGCACTTGCAGAACGGGATCATCCGCGGCTACCAGATCGGGTACCGGGAGTACAGCACGGGGGGCAACTTCCAGTTCAACATCGTGAGCGTGGACACCACGGGCGACAGCGAGGTGTACACCCTGGACAACCTCAGCAAGTTCACGCAGTACGGGCTGGTGGTGCAGGCCTGCAACCGCGCCGGCACGGGGCCCTCTTCTCAGGAAATCATCACCACCACGCTGGAGGACGGTAGGTCCCGGCTGCGGCGCCCTCCTCCGGCCCCTGCTCCGACAGCACCCTGGCCAGGCCGGATGGCAAAGCCAGGGTGCTCCCTTTCCAGAATCTTCCTTGCCTGGGTCCAGCCCCGGGGCTGGGGAATGGGTTTCTCCCTGTCCCTGCAGAATCCTGGCTAGAATGCGAAATCTGTGGGAGAGTTTCCCCCAAACCAGTGTTCAGGTTTCAGGCAGAGGTGGAGGTGGAGATATGTTCATTAATCTACGTTTGCTGCACACAATGAGTAGGTTCCCCGTGGGGAGCTGCGGTGTGCACACCACACATCTTATTTCTTTTTTCTCCCCCTTCCCCTCCCCTCCCACCTTTTCCCTCCCTCTCTTGGTGCTCTTTCCTCTTGCAAAAGATCTGCCTCCCTGCCTCCTGGTATCTCCCTTATTTTGTTCTTTGTTTATACTCTGGGTTTCTCATATGAGAGAAGCCATGCAGATTTTAAGCTTGTGTGTTGATTTGTCTCGCTTAACATTATGGTCTCAGGGTGCATTTGTAGGTGTTTCCCTACAAATGATTCAAATAATCCTTCTTTATAGTAGAGTAGTATTTATTTTTCTTTTTTAGGATTGCATTCTATGTTCAAGCATTCTGCCACCCAAGTTGTTAGGCTCTTTGGAGCAGTGATTGGGCGCCCCCTAGTGAGCAGGATGATTGAATTAGGCCTTCCGCCGGGGCAGGAAATCAGCCAGAATCCTGGCGTCCAGAGGATGCTGTTATGGGTGATGGGATAGGCGGTGGGTGGGGTGGTAGGCTTTCAGGGAGCAAGCGGGCCTGTGTTACCTCTCGTGTAATCAGCAGCGTCATCACAGATCTGGGGAGGCAAATTACGATGTGCTTCTGTAATTCCGGACAGTCATTGCCCGAAGAGAAGCCTCCCATGACCAGAAACTTGAATGCCAGGATTTCATTTGTACCCTTGTAATCTTTGCAGTAGTGGTTGAGTATTCCTCTTGGGATTTTACTTCAATGCTATTTTATTAAGATATGTATTTCAGTCGATATTTTGCACTTTCTCTGAGCTCCAGTATTTAGGATTTGAACAAGCTCAGTGTTTAAAATTCTGCAGATATCCTCTTCTATTTCTTGTTTGTCTCTCCTCTAACAAAATATTATAGTACTGTACTTAGAAAGGGGTTTCAGCGGCTAAGGCAGTGAAAATGCGATTGTATTCCGCCTTATTCACACTTTTCAATAGTTAGACTTCCAGTTTGTGTCAGAAGTCCTAACTGTGGAGGGAAAGCAGTCAGTGTTCAAAGAAAATACAACCTAAAGCAGCAAATGGCAAGCATATAGGAAAATAAAGCAGACAAGCCAGGTCTTCTATTCAGGTCCCCAAAAGTGAAGTAATACAGTTGCAAAGAGACAGTGTGGAACCCATTATGACAAAGCAGAGACTCAAGGTATTTTACCGCATTATTGTAATTTTGTACAGGAAAGTGGCATTGTTTTTCTTCTACCGGGGGCAGAGGTAAGTGCTGTTCCTTCCTCTGCTCACATTCTAGAATATTAAACTGGGCTGCATATTCAGTAACTCTTAGGGAGTAAAACCACCCGTAGTTCTTACGGATTCTAAATATTTCATTCCAGTGCCCAGCTACCCGCCTGAAAACGTGCAAGCCATGGCAACATCACCAGAAAGCATCTCCATCTCCTGGTCCACGCTTTCCAAGGACGCCCTGAATGGGATCCTCCAGGGCTTCAGAGTCATCTACTGGGCCAACCTCATGGACGGAGGTGAGAGGACGGTGCCCTTGCCCCAGCTCACACAGTAAGATTTGCTGGCCCCTCTGGAAGGTAGGCTGGGGACACGGCAGGCACTTCTCCCTGGTAGACACTATGGCCCACCTCACAGGTGCGTGTGGGCTCTCTGAGACACCGTATGCCTCCAAGGGGTGATTGCAGCATAGCAGGAGGGCAGCCCTTGAGAAAGCGAGGCATGGATGCATTTTCCTAGTTATACTGTGTCCTAGTGTCTGTGTCCAGAATGCAGGCAGCACCCAACCTCTGCCTCCATCTGGAACAGCCCACGTGATGTGTATTCTGTGCAGCTGGCTGCTTCCCGTTCCCCAGTCGGAACTCAGCAGAAAGATGTTTTGTAGCTGAACTCAAGAGGGGTTAGGAAGAAAGTGAGAAAAACTGGAGAGGAGTATGATCCTTCCCCATGCAGAGGGCCATGGTCACTGTCCTCGGTGCTGGCACAAAACACCTGACACCTGCAGTTCAAAGGAGGGGAGGATTATTGGGCTCAGGCAATGGCCAGCTGGCTCCAAGGCAGACAGCAGGGCAGAAGGCGCTGGTAGAGGAGAGCTGCTCAGGGCAGGGAGGACAGGCAGCAGAGGGCAGGGAGGACAGGGGAGCAGATGAGGCCTTCAGGCCCCACCCTCCGTGATGCCTCTTCTGACCAGGCTCTGCCTCCCAACAGCGAGCCAGCTCTGAGCCCCATGGTCCAGTCCCTGCCCCGGTGATGGTTCTGTGAGGCCTTTGAGGGACATCTAGATCTAAACCATAACAAGGGGCCGTGCAGAGCAGCCCCTCAGGCCTGGATCGCGGCTCAGCGGTCCAGCACTGGCCTGGCAGGCATGAGGCCCTGGGTTCCCTCCCCAGCACCACAGAGCAAACCAAAAAACACCTATTTTTATTTCTTTTTCCTTTCTTTCACCCTCCTCCTGCTTTTCTGTCTTGTTCCTTCTATTCCATGTGTGCACACCCGAGTGCATGTATGTGTGCTTGTGTGTGTGTGTGTGCGTGTGTGTGTGTGTTTGTGTTTTCTTTCAAGTTGTGGGACAAAATTCTCCTTTGTTTGAGGCAGACTGAGAATAAGAGACCTGCTTGGGCGGCATGGGGAGGTGGCCACACCCCGTGCCCTGACCGGAAGGAGGCAGACGCGGGTTGGGGCGGGGCAGCTAGGAGTCTCGAGGCCAAGCTGGGCTGCAGGCCTGGCAGGAAGGCCCAGCCTGCTGCTGTCCGCCTGCAGTGGCCACACCCACCTCCTCCCGCTCTCCTGGTCTCCCCCCTGCAGCCCCAACCTGTGCCTGGGGGCCTCCCCTCTGCTTCGGGCATCTTCCAGCCCCCCCGGCAGGGTGTGGGCCCTGGGGAGCATGCCCCTCTGCATCTGGGCAAATGCAGCCAGGACCCCCAAGCTGCCCGACGCCTGCTCAGGATCACCTGGTCTGTGCTGCCAATGAGACCTGGGTCCCCTGCGGGCATCGGGACATGGAATGTTCCAGAGATTCCCAGGGTCCTTCTGTGCTGGCTGGGCCTCTGCTGCATGCTGAGCTGGGGACCAGGAAGCTGCAACCACACCTAGGCTGGGAGCGAGCGGGATGCAGATGCAGGCAGAGCCACAGCCTGGCGAAGATGCGCTGCCCGCGAGGGGCAGACTGGAGTCCTTGTTCTTCCTCCACCTCGCCCCCAACCAAGGAAAAGCTTTGCAAAAATTGCGAAATGTAGAGCAATGGAAATTTGCAAATTCAGTTTACTGACAAAACCATAGGGTGCTTTTACACTTACTTCTGGTTTCCACTCCTTGGGCGAGCAGCTTAACCCCAATGCCCTCCTCGAAGGACGGGCTGACCTGGAATTGCTCTCGTGTTGGAGATATCTCCGGAGCCCAGGAGACAACTCACCCCATCACGGACCGCAACTCCGAGTTTCCTGTTAGCATCTTCGCTCCAAAGCGTGACATGTGGCTTCACACTTCTAAAGACTTAAGCATTTGAGGGCTAGGGATGTAGCTCAGTGGCACAAGCACCTGCCCGGCAAGTGCAAGGTCCTGAGTTCGATTCCTGGAAAAAAAAAGAAAAATTAAGCATTTGCATATTCAAAACATAATGCTTGGAAATGCATAAAGTTCTTAAAGAGTTCAATGTGCAGAATCAGGGTCAAACTGTACGGCAATCTCTGTCTAGATTCCATGCTTAATTTCTGAAAGATGAGAGAGAAACCCCAGATACAAAACATGCTTCTGAAGGGGCCACCCTGCGCCCGGCCCTGAGGAGAGTGACGTCACAGGGCAGCAGGGCCTTCTGTGCGGGCCCCCGCGGGCCTCGAGCATGTTGTGACTGTGAAAACCGTCCCTGCCACCCTGAGAGATAACCACACACACAACGTGCATGCACACACCACGCAACGCACACCCCTCACATACTACACACATGCTGCACACAGCACACACACCACATACATCACAGATCACACAGCGCTCCCCATGCACGTACACCACACCTACACAGTGCTCCACACACCACCCATGCCTCTCTCACACACACACATGCACACACATGCACACACGTGCACGCACACACACATATGCACAGGTTCTTTCTGCCTCTGTGCTCAGCAGTTGACCCAGATATGTCCCAAAATATGTGCAAGAAAGCATTTTGTTGTTGATATGATCAAATAAAACCCAACAGAAAGGAATACTAGAAAGAAACAGAAATACTAGAAAGGACAAGTTAAATATACAGTCTTTTGATACTTCCAACTTTTTATCACAATCAGGAAGTTAATTATTTTATAAGATGGGCAAGAGACTGAGATTGCTGGGAATATTATCCCATTTGAAAAGTCACTGTTTCCACCTGAGTTTAGCAGCGTTGTGATTTTGTTGGCAGTACTGGGGATTGAACCGAGGGCCTTCACCTTGGGCGACACCCCGCCCTTGGTTAGTGCTGTGGCTTCATTTGTATTAGTAGCTCATGGGTGGACACATACTGAGCGCAAGAACCGTGGATGGGCACAGACACGCCTTGCACGGAACACTGTTCACTTCCTTCCCCCTTCTATTCCTAGATCCTCTCTCCAGCTCCACAAACTCTTGCTCCCTGTTTCCTACCATCTGTCTTTTATTTTGCTCTTTAAATTATTTACACTTCGGGGTTTCTCATAGAAGAGAAACCATGTGCTGTTTAACTTTCTGCTTCTGATTTATTTCACTTAACATTATGGTCTCCAAGGGCATCCATTTTCCTACAAATGACTCAAGTTTATCCTTCGTTATGGCAGAGTAATACTCCATGGTATGTAAATGCCACATTGTCTTTACCCAGTCACCTGCTGGGGGACCTAGAGGCTGCTTCCAGGACGTAGCTGTTACGAACTGTGCTGCTACAAACATGGGTCCCTCTATATTTTTAGATCAATTTTTATTCCATAGGACTACGTGTTTGTAGTACACGCCGATCCCCGACCCACGTGGGAAGTCAGCGCATGCGCACAACACATCTCAGCCTTGGTAGCCGCCCCTCCCCCCCCCACCGCTTCCCTTTGCAAAGGGTCGGCCTGTCTGCTTACTTTCGTCGGTCCTTTGGGTCGCTGTTCAGTGGCGCTTTGGGTCTGTCCTGTAAGGGAAGCCGTGCGCTGTCTCAGCTACCCTGCAGCCTTCACTGTCCTGAGCCAGGGAAGTGGGGACACCCCTCCGGCAGTCAGGGTCTCAGAGCCATCTCCTGCCACACTGCACATGTGGCCATCCTTCTTGCTGTACTTTCCCGGACTCTGTGTGTGTGTGTGTGTGTGTGTGTGTGTGTGTGTGTGTGTGTGATCCGACACAATGCAGATGTCTCTAAACCAGAAAAGATCTTCATGCGTTCTGCATGGCGAGGTTCCCCATTTGCATCTGAGCCTTTTATCTTCATCCAGTCGATCTGGGTCAACCCGGGGAAAACGAGAGCAGTACTCGAGGACAGAAGGACCCTTCCCTCGGAGGGGAGAACTCCCAACCCACCCGGGCCACCTGTCCCCGGAATTCTGCATGCGGGACGGCCAGCTGCCCGCCGGGAATTCCCCTCGGTGACCTGGCTAGGAGAGCCCGGGCCCAGCGTCTCCCGTGGCCTTGCTCCTCACCTGCCTCCCAGCTCTCGCAGCCGGCAGCTCACGTTGGGTCCTGGCTTCTGTGACCCTCATGCTAACCCCGCATCATCTCCCCTCAGCTCCCCGGCGTGTGTGTGACAAGCCCCGACCACCTCGTGCTCCAAGTTAAATTCCTCTTTGATGCTACATCCAGTTCAACCTAGATCCTTTCGGCAGCAAAACTTAAAAATTGTAGGCAGGCACCTTGCAGCCAGCATAGTTCCCGAAGTGGTGACTGTGGGTGCCTGGGCCTCTGCAGGACGTCAGGTGGCCAAGGGGACCGGAAGGAAAAGGGCCGAGGAGAGGCCAGGCAGCAGAAGGACAAGGGCCAGCCGGTCCCCCCCCCCCAGCAGCTCCCTCCCCAGCCTGCTCTGCTTGCTGCCCCCAGTTACCCTGTAGACTCATGTTCCCGGCTCCCAGGCGCAGCGCCGGTTGGTCTGGGGCCCCTGACCTCCGCCAGGCACTGTGTCTGCTCCCTGTCAGGTGGCTGCCCGGGAGGCTGCCGTCCAGCTGGTTCCGTGAGCTCATCTGTATGAGAGCAGGACCGGTACCTCGGCCGCCTCTTCCCGCTTTCCAGACTCACCCAAGGCCGTACCCTCGCATCCTCGCCACCCCTCGCCACGCAGTTGTGTATGCGATGCCCGGCGTCCCACAGATGCCCCCCGTCCCTGGGTGCGCAGGTGCCAGGCCCTGCTCTGAGAGCCAGCGCTGCTCTGTGGGGGGCTTACTTCTCCACCCCAGGGGCCACACCGGGTCGGCATGTGACACACCCCTTCGAGGTCCTCAAGTTGCCCGTGCAGGAGAGCACGATGTTCCGTCCTGGAATAGCATCAGCCGATCCCACTCCCAAGAGAAAGCGAGGCATGTTTAGCTCACGCCGAGCTTCTGACAGGTCCCTGTCACTTCAGCGGTGACGCTGCTGGGAGTTCACTCTGGGTAAAGGGGGGAGTCTGCCGAGCCGCTCCACCAGGTCAGACGCACTTTTACCCATTTGCATACTGCATGTTCGGCTTTTGGAAGAAACACTGAGCAAATTAAAGCTGTGTCAGTGTAAGGTTTGCACCGTGCCGCTCTGACGCCCATCTCCACGAGCTAAGCCACCTCAGGGATCCATCACCTTGCGTCCATCACCTTGCACACTTACTGTTCTCCACCCAGGGATACAAAGTTTCAGTTATGCAGGAAGAGTAACTTTAGAGGAGGAGCATGCAGTGAGTGGTTATCAAGGCTGCGGAGGGAACTAGAAGTTTGCCAAGGGGGCTAGACCTTGCTCAGACATTTGAGAGGAGAGTAGATACTTACTAGCACAGGGATGTCGAAGTAGACTTAAAAATTGCAAAACTTGGACTTACAGAAGCTTCAGAGAACAAAGCAAGAGGCAGAAGTTTCTGAGCAGGAGAGGCAGCTGGGTGTTGACCTAAGGTCTGCAACTTCGCGCTGGCCCACGCCCCTAAGTTTCCCAGGTCGACTTTCTCCCTGTTGTCCTGCAGCAGTTCAGTGTGATACCTAGCAAGGGGCCACACAGCGCGGGTGTGTGCAGCGGCTGCTCTGAGCACTTTCAGAGGGCACCAGGCCGGGACAGCACCTGGTGCGGGAACAGAGTAACCTACGGCGTCTGCTCTCGTCCTCTAGAGCTGGGCGAGATTAGGAATGTCACCACCACGCAGCCGTCGCTGGAGCTGGACGGGCTGGAGAAGTACACCAACTACAGCATCCAGGTGCTGGCCTTCACGCGCGCGGGGGACGGGGTCAGGAGTGAGCAGATCTTCACGCGGACCAAGGAGGATGGTGAGCTGGGGTGCAGGGTGGGCAGGGATCTCCGTCCCGACTTACACACCCAGGGCACACCTGGCTCTGCTGAGGGGCAGCACACCCAGCCGAGGACCCGCTGGAGGTCTGGTCAGAGGGCTCGTCCTGCAGCTGCATCACCAGGCGGCCCTCACCCTGGCCCCTGCACAACCCAGCTCAGCACACACCCTGGCGTCCAGACCCAGGCTGCCTGGGCTCCGTGCACCCACTGCCTCCCTCTGCCTTCCACGTGTTCTTCCCAGGCCCCTTCCTCCTCCTCTTCCTCCCTATCCTCTTCTCCCTCTTCCCCTCTCTCCTCCTCTGTATTCCCTTTTCTTTTTTTGGCCAAATATTATTTGAACAAAGACACTCTTTATCCCTAAGCTGCAGTATCATCTGTACCTGTTTTGCATCCTGTTCAAATAACTTTCCTGGCTCCTTAACTACCAAAAGAAGCTCTGGTTATTTCCACCCTTCCACTTGAAGTCTATGTGCCGGACTAGGTCATATCATTCTATGCTAGCTGGATCATTTTAGAAGTCCTTGATGGAAGAGCCCCACAATATGTTATTTATTAAGTCTCATGAAGATTTGTGATGATTTAGTAAAATTTTAAATCATTGCTGATGTTCTCTGGCTACTAGTTCTTACCATCCCACACAGTTTGGGTCAGGTTATGTGACTCTGCAGTTGTACTGGAAAAATTGGGCCCAGGACCTGTGCAGCTAAGCTATGGTCACTTGGCTCTGTACCTACTGTCTTCTTGCAGAAGCTGGGCAGGGCTGAGGAGTGTACTGGCTTTATGTTTCTTGGTCAGAAGATCTGATACCTGCAACTTACAGAAGAGGTTTACTTTTTCTTAGGTTTCAGAGGGTCCCGTCCAAGGCAGGACCAGTTAGCTGGCAGAAGGGTGTGGAGGAGCCAAGTTGCTCACATCTTGGTGGGCAGGACAAAGAGAGCAAAGGAAAGAGCTGGGGATAAGAATATGCTCTCCAGGTCACGCCTCTGTGACCGACCAGCCACTTCCCAATAGCTGCCCCCCTCAACAGCACATCTGGCCACAAATTTATCGATGGATGGCATCCCGGCCCTGCTGCTGAGCAGTCCACCCATCTGCTCTCATAGGACATGGCCCCCGCTGCTCTGCCCACATAGAAGCCTCCTGCCTAGCTTGGGCTTTGCTAGAATTCACAGGCACATCTTCCTTGGATGCGCCAGTCAGTTTGCTCAAAGATGATGTATTATTTCAGAAAAATCTGAGGTCAAATGCAGAGATAGGAGGAAGCCACCAGGAGAGACAGCTACAAGAGGTGATCGGAATATATACAGTCAACATTTGAATTAAAAAGAGTTTATTACTCAAAGGACGTATTGCCAGGAGTCCCCCTCAAAACCTCCCCCTTGCTTCACACACACTCATCCCATCGTTCCGGCCACTTTCTAAAGTAGTTCTAGAGTTCTGTTTCCTGAGTGTCTTTCTGAGGTGCAGTCAGCAGCACCATGAATGCTGCCGTCCAAAGGAAGGGCAGGCTCGTGAAAACGTGACTCTGTGTCCTCACCCACCTTATTCACAGGGTCTGCTCTGTGTGGCTTCCAGCTCTTCCTCAAAGTCAAAATGACTATGACAGTGCAACTAAAGGCACTCAGGAAAGAGGACTCCAGAGCTGCTGCAGGACGTGGCCAGGACCATGAGACAAGTGGGTTCAAAGGAAGCGGAGAAACTTTAAGGGGATCCGCGGCAAGATGCCTATTATTGTAACTTCGAACACATTCATGGGACACTTGACCATGCCTCACAAATCCTAAGTGAAAAAGCATCCTGATTTTATTTTAAAGCAGAACAGACAAGACCTGTGTGAATGTGGTGCTGTGCCCCCCTGCCCGTGGGACTTTGGACATCTTACCTAGGAACTGGAGGGGCCTCACAGCGGTTTGTGCTGGGGTCAGACCACACGAATCCACACGTAGAGACTGCAGCCATGTGAAAAGCCCTGGGCTGACAGGCAGTGGGCAGCCTCCTGACACCAAATACTTGGTTTTCTGCTCTCCGCTCCTTCAGGGCAGGGGTGGAATATTTTTTTGCATTGCTAAGCCTCAACTCAAGTATCACTAGCATTATTATTTAAAGAGCAAGATGATCGCCAGCACAAATTTTGACATCTGCATTTTTTTATAGGAATGTACAGAAATCCAGTAAAAAAAAATGTAGGCTCCCCACAACCTCTGTTGACTGGTCCTTTGGGATGAACTTTTAATCAATCCTCCAGTTTTAGAAACCATTCAGTCCCATCTCCGAATGTGACCCTGAGGCCCAGGGTGGACTTTGTCAACAAATTGTTCTCTGCATTTGAACCCAGTCCCAGTAGTGGCAAGGGTGCGATGAGTTGTAAAGATCTTGCCTGGGGTCCACCACTCACCCCAAGAAGGGCTGGAGAATTCCACCTGTGTGAGAGCCCACTATCCATATTATTTAGGATAAATCAGCACTTTCAAAAAGAAGTGGAGCAGAAATTGGGTGGAAGGATGGAGAAAAGCTAGTGAATCTCTCAGATTCACATGGAAAAGTCACTAGTTTAGAAATGGTGGGAACTGTGCTCCTCTTTGGAGGCTCAGTGTCTAATATAAATAGGCACGTAAGAAGTTTGGAGAATCGAGTGCAATTTTGTCTGACTGAAAGAAAGGACCAAGACCAGCCACTGTGGAAGAGGTGCTTAATCCAATTAGGATTACGAGTCCTGTCCACACAGACACCTGTAGGTCGCCTAATTTAAACTTTGGATTAAACGCCAACTTCAATTGAACCATGTGAAAATGTGCAGAGAATGCCAGGAAAGTAATTGCTAGTGTGTATTAACTTTTCCCTCATGAAAGCATTATTTTAGGCATAGGTTGACGCTCTCCCAAGAAAAGAAAGATTAATACAGCAACGGTAAACACTTGGTAAGTCCTCTTGCCCGCACATGCTGCCCTCAAAATCAGGTTTAAGTTGTGTTCTGAGGTCTCTGGTCATCCTGGGGAGGGAGAAGTTACCCCTAGTAAAGACAGGACGTTGGCTTTTGCAAGAGATCTTTTGCAATGACAATGTTTGGTAGTTTCTCAGCGTCTGTCTGAGGACCACTGGCTCACAGCCACGTTCTCGGATCTGTGTTCACACTTTCCGATCCAAGCACAGGGTCTCGGCACCTAAACGCTGGCCTCGGGCCCATGGACGTCTTAGTCAGTCCCCTTGTTGCTGGCACACGATCTGCGACACTTGTAACTTACAAGGAGGAGAGGCTTGCTCTGGCTCGGGGTGTGTAGGGTCCCAGTCCGTAGTCAGCTGGCTCCAAGACCAGCTGCTGGGGCAGGCAGGAATCGCAGAGGAGAGACGGCTCATGGTGCTTGAAGCGGAGAGATCGGGAAGTAGCGAGACTTTTGCAGGCCACGCCCCCAGTGACCACCTGACAGCAGGGAGCCCAGCACCAGGGACAGCGCCCAGCCCGGGCGCCCGGAGCAGACCTGACGTGGCCACACAGACTTGCTCCCCTCCTCCTTCCTTCTTTCCTTTCTTCTTCCTTCTCTCCCTTCCTACTTTTCCTTCTTTCCTTCTTCCCCTTCATTTTTTCCTTCCTGCCTTCCTCCCCTCGCCCCCCACTTCCTTACCTGCCTTCCCGGCAGCCCTCCCCGAGGAGTCACATTACCACCGTGGAAACGCTCTCTTCCGCACTCACCGTTCGTGGGTCTGCCTAGCGGACTTCATGGTGGTGTCACCTGACAAGAGCCGCTGCCACAGACAAGCTGGAGACGGGATCACTGACTGCTCAGCGGCTCCTCCTGGCTGCTGCCCCGAAACCCGCGGGCCCCTGAGTCACAGCGGCCGTGGAGAGGGTCCAGCGCGGCCCCTGTGCCCTGGCCCCGCTCTGCTCACGTCTGCTGTGGCCCTGACGCCTGGAGCCTGAGTACAGGGGCGGGACCCCGGTGCTTTGTCCCCAAGGGACTCTGCATCCGGACTGGTCACTCCCAGGGGTTCCCGGCTGCCCGGCAGCAGAAACTAAGACCTTGCATTCCGAACGGTGACCGGGTCCCAGCGGGGCTGTCTCACCAGAGTGGGCTTAGGACAGTGAGGGTGGGACCAGAGGGATCGCATGCAGTCTCCAGCCTCTCCGCCGTCCCCCTCCCTGGCAGCAGCAGGAGGCTCCCGGACCCCTCCGGTTCCCTGGGGACAGAGAAAGGCTCCGTGCCAAGGCCACCACGCAGCGGGGAGCAGGGCCACCCTCTTCCTCGGCCTCCCCCTTTTCCCTGGGGTGCGCTGGCCCCAGCCCCCCTCCCCAGCTCCTCCACCCAGAGGGCAGGAGAGGGGAAAGCAAGCGGTGCACTGCTCTCACTCTCAAACCTGCCCGAGTGTGGATGCCACCTTCTGCCCGCAGAGGTCGCCGGAAGGGAGTGGGTGGCACACTGACTGTGATCCAGGAGGGACGCTCTCCACCTCCCTGGGCACACAGCGGCACCAGGCAAAGCTTCCGGGTGACAGAGGGGCTCCTGCCTGCCTGTCCCCGGGGGCCCGTCCACCCCAGACGGGTGGAAGCAGGAGTGGCCAATAGCAGAGTCTCCAGCATGGGGCGGAGAGAGGCGGGGCCTGGACGGCGGACGTGGCTCCCTCCCGGGAAGAAGGGGCCTGACGGAGGGCGCAGTCCTGGGGCAATCAGTGCCGCAGGCTGCTGGCTGAGGTGTGAGGATGGATCGTCCCGGGCTCTGCAGGCCGGAAGTCCAAGGCCCCGTGCAGCGGGGCTGGGGAGCGGCCGCAGGTGGCTGTCTTCCCCGGTCCTCCCTGTGGCCGTCCACAGTGTGTGCCTGCCTCTGGGTTCGAATGGCCCCTTTGCGTACGATCGTATTAGATCAGGGGCCGCCTGAGGGCCTCTTGCCGCTTAGTCACCTCTGTAACGTCCTCCGCCCAATACCCGCACGCTCGGGCGGGGTCCTGGGGGCAGCGTGCGGGCAGCAAGGTCGTGTGCGCCACCCGGGACTAACCGCTCGCCTCCTGCAGTTCCAGGCCCTCCTGCGGGTGTGAAGGCGGCAGCGGCCTCGGCCTCCATGGTCTTCGTGTCCTGGCTGCCCCCTCTCAAGCTCAACGGCGTCATCCGGAAGTACACGGTGTTCTGCTCGCACCCCTACCCCACAGTAAGTCGGCGAACTCGGGCACCCTGCGAGCCGTCCCACCCAGCTGGGTCTCTCTGAGGTTTCACTTGTCCCCGGTCCTGTCCACACACAAAGCAAAGTCCTGGTTTACACCTCATTTGGAAGCACTCCGGCGTGGTGACAGGGAGCCATTGTCTGCAGCGGTGTTTATTCCTTGAGTTCTTACCGCCCTGCCAGCGGCTCACCAACCTGCAGGCCGAGGCCTTAACTGGTCCTTAATTGGTAGTCAGTGGACAGCAGCTATTGATGCTGTCCTGGGGCCACCATTAAATACTACAGGCCCGGCCTCCCTCCCACCCCTGTCCGCCCCTTCCCATCCCACACGGAGGAGGGGCTGCTGCAGACGGGTCCCTGACCCTGCGTTCTGGCGGCACCTGGCCCCAGGGAAGGGGTTAGAGTCACAATATTTTCTGGCTCGGAGCCCGCTGTGCCTGACCCCGGCCGGGACTCCTGCCCAATGCACTTACAAAGTCCAGCTGCCACGTTCAGAACCATTATCACGGGAGGAAGTCGGAGAGAAAATTAAACAGGAAGTGGCACATGAAAATGGATGACATCTCCCTGGAAATCATGACGTTTCCTGAGGCGGGAGACATCTTTGTGTCTCCTGGCCCCGGATAGAGGACTTAGCATGCACGGCATGCACGAAGCGTTCTGGGTGATGACGCGGACTGATTGTGTTCTAGCGGTGAGATACACGCTATGTCACATGGACCCCCTGCCATTCTCATGTGCAGCTCTGTGGTGTCAGGGACATTTCCTGTTCACATCCATCGGCACCATCCTCTCCAGAATGTTCCCCTCTTCCCCCTCAGGGTCCACGTCCTCTTCGTGGCCCCAGACCCCATGCCACTTCCGGCCTCTGCACTCAGCTGCTCAAGGCCCCCCCAGTGCCCTTACACAGCCCTCTGGCCCCCCAACCTTGGCTTATTCCACGGCCCCTGCACGTCGGCCCCTGGGTCAGATCTCCTTCCTCCATGAAGCGGAACACTACTCCCGAACCCACTTCTTACTCGATCCTTCGATCCAAGCGACACATGTCCCAACCCCGAGTCTGCGTGAGAGCCAAGGCCGAGCAGCTGACTGGGCGGGCAGTGAGGGAGAGCTGTGGGAGCCGGTGTGCAGCTCACTGTCTGGTCTGCGGCCAGGAGGCATGGGGGAAGCCTGGCATGCTGGAGGAGAACTGCTCCCCTCATGGCGGCCAGGAAGCTGGGAGAGAGGGAGGAGCCAGGGGCGAGCTGCACCCTTCAGGCCGCGCCGTCATTACCTCCTCTGCCCTGAGCAAGTCCCGCCACCCAATAGCCCACTGTGCCCTGAGCCGGCCACTGATGGGTCTCGTGCCCTTGTGCCCTGCAGCTTTCCCACGCACCCCGCTCTGAGCCCACAGGAGCTCACGGCCCATGGATCTGAGGACCCCACACAGGCATGACTCTCTCACTGGCCCTACCCACCCTTTTCCCTCCAAAGGGACACAGAGTACTGCTGGTTTGGTTCATCTCGGTTCGAAGGGCTTCTGTGTCTCCACTCGCTCATCCACCTCCCTGCTGTGAGCCCCACTCGAGTTTGCTGGGGTGACTCCAGCGGGCTGGAAGGTCGCCAGGTGCAGCCCAGGTCCTCCCTGCAGGTCCCCAGCCCCCGCTCCACACCCGCCTGCCCTGTCCTCCTGGAGGAGCCTCGGCCAGGGACGTGAGCAGAAGGGAGGCCCGTGGCTGACTGCGCTCTGGTGACCCTGGGCTCTGTCCTTGTCACTCGGGGTCATTGCTCAGGTCGGCCCACTCGCCGCCAACCCCATCAAGGAAGCCACGTGGTGAGGTGGAGGGAGAGGAGTTCCTGAACGCTGGCTCAGGAGGCGGAGGGGCCGTTTGCCTCAGGCCCCGTCCCCGCTTGCTGGTGGGCAGGGGTCTTCCACAGCAGGGAGCAAGGGGTATGACCTTCCCTGCAAAGAACAGGGAACATCATCTGAGACTTGTTTGCTTAAAATAAAATAGAGCTAGGGGTGTAGCTCAGGGGCACAAGCGCCTGCCTGGCAAGCGCAAGGTCCTGAGTTCAATTCCTGGTACCAAAAAAAAAAAAAAAAAAATTAAAATAAAATAATACCTTACAAGTCAAGATGAGGGAACATCAGTTCCTGTGTACGCAGAGAGGGAATGCATAGAAGCCCCACATGCCACCTGTCTTGTCATAAGAAATTAACAAAATGCTATACATTTCTGGAGAGTAGGGTTTTTTTCTTTCCTCATCCTTGGTCTCTGTGATTTGATTAAGTCAGAAAGCAAGGCCATCTCAGGTGCTGCGGTTTGTCACAGTGACCACCAGGGGGCAGCACGAGCTCTGTGTATTCCCCCATTCCCAAATCTGAATTTTTTTCTTTGAAATGATTTCATAGTTGGATGTAGAACATGGGAGGATAAATGAGGACACAAGATGCCTTGTAACTTGCTCTTCTTGTGAGAGTCCCTCAGGGAACCCCTTACTGCCCAATTCCTCTTCCTTCCTTGAGAAAGGACCTTACATGTAATACGTTAAATGCATTTCCTAGTAATGAGCATTCATTTCACACTACTCTCATTTCTGCTTAGTAGGGGAGGCTAAGAGTTTGAAACTTTGCAAGTAGCAGGCTATTACGTTTTCTGGAAAGGAGTCTGGTTCTGCCGCCGGTTGCCCAGAAGCCGTGTTGGGACCCGGGACCTCACGTCACATCCAGCTGATGGATGGGACACCTCCTTTCATCCCTGGACAGAGAGGAAAACCTCAAAATCTCCACGTTCATTTGAGTCAGAGCCTCGGGCACGCAATGGATGGACTTTAATCTATACCTGTCTGAACTATCAACTCACAAGCTACTGTAAGCAGTGGCAAACCTGACAGATGAGCCCGCCTTGGGAGCTCCCAGATTGGAGAGTAATCGGGCTGTCCTGACCCTCCTCCTGATGTACAAGCAGTATGTGGAAAATTATAAATATATAAACATCAAGTAAGCACCAGGATATAGAAGTGAGCTACTTCCCAGTGTTGAGCTGATTTACACAGAGGTTAGAAACCAGGTAGCAGAATCTCCTCACTACTAAAGCATAACCCTCAGAAGGCAGGAAGGTGACCGGTGAGCTGTGACTTCCGTCAGCCTTTCCTGGGTCAGATGCAGTGTTACCCAGGATGCCCAGTAAACGCTGCTGAGCAGGCGAGTGAGAATAGACCGGCGCCCTTAGCCACAGGCTTGGGGTGGGAGGATTCTGGTCGGGGGTCACCCGCCCCACCTGAACAGCACAGGAATAAGTTTTTCAGAAGGTATGGCTATGCACACCTGTAATCACAGCACTCTGGGAGGCTGAGGCAAGAGGATCCCACGGTGGAGCTCTGGGACATGCTTGCTTTCCTGCCCGTCCACTGCCCCGGGGGCTCAGGCACCCATCTGCAGAACCAGCCCCACAGCAGAGGCCTTTTGCCCGCCCTCCCGCCGACAGGCACAGTTGTCCTCTCCAGCTCTTACTCTGAGCCGGTCCTGCCCTGGTGCAAATCCCTTAGATGATTCCTCACTTTTTACTTCACAAGCACTCACAAATCTCCTGTGGGGCCTGGACAGATTTCCACACCAGCTCCTGTTCCACCTCCTATTCTGCTGAACTCCGCACCTGGTGTCTGAGCCACACTGCAGCCCAGATGTGCAAGTGTGCGTGCGTGTGCAGGTGTGTGCAGGCACGCGCGTGGGGTCCTCTTGTGAACCTGCGAGAAGACGCTTGTTCTCGAAGGCTAGACTGAAGGCGATGTTTTGTTCCCCATCTCGAGCACTGGCTCTGTCCCTGCCTCTCCGGGTCGGATGCTGTCCTACTGCCGGCGTGTTGACCTTGGCCACGCATTCCACTGCGTTACCTCCACACGCACATCAAATGCTGGTTTCCGTTAGTGCGTTCTACGGCCTCACAGCCATATATCTTTACCGACACTGAAACGGGACTGTCATCTGGTCGGGGTCGCACAGCTTGGCATGAGGATCTGCCAGCAGAGGGGCTGGAGGGGGCGGCTCTTCCCCTCCAGGGGAAGCTGGCACCATCCTGCCCCAGTACTACCCAGCACCGACTGGCAAACTCGCTTTGCTCTGCCCCAACCTTATGCACAGCTTAACGCGTGCATGCTCGGGCCCGCAGTGAGGCCTCAGGTGCTGGGACCTTGCTTTGTCACCGCCGTGCTGGAAAAGTGCGGGGGTGCCGTGTTGCTTTGTTTTCTGGACTCTGACCATAAGGCCTCCAGGAGAAGTCAAACGTCGGATGAAGCCCCTGCTTAATAAGGCAGGAAAGTGTGCTATAGACTCTGGGACACTCTCTGTCCCCGAAGGATTCCGATTAAATGCTTGTGCTTGTCAATCACAGACGTGGAAATCAGGTCTTCCATCTAATGACCTAACAGTGGCTGTCCCCATTCTGCCTTGGCAATCCGGCTACAGAACGCCCTCCGTGATCACTCACACCGGTGCACTTGCTGAGACCCCAGGCCTTCACTGAGTTTCTACGGGTGGGCGCTTGCTAGGTGCCCTGAGGTCAGCCAGACCTTTCTCCCGTCCTCGGGGCTCTTGTCACAGTGTCACACAGGCAGAGAACCCTGCAGAGGCTTCAGAGCATCCATCACACATCCCAGACATGTGGGAATCGATCCTGGTTTATAAAACCTCAGCAAATACACTCCTGAAGCTCCTTTGGAAATACCCCTGTATTTCACGGTCAGTCCTGATGCAGCGACTCTCAATCTTCCATAAGTGTTTCAAGCTGTGATTTACATCTATTTATTAGCCTTCTGTTCTCTGGGAGCATGGAGGCGGGGTCTGTCATCTGCAGAAATCTTTAAAATGCTCTTCCTCCTCGAGTTAGCCTTAGGGAACCAGCTGACTGCTGCGCAATCACTGTCATCGTCCTTTTCCCGTTGTCGCTGAGGGCCACTAGTTTCGCCAGGCACAACCTGAAGCCATCCAGTGGCTATAGCTGCTCCAGTGC